CTCCCCCTATTAACAGAAATGTCTTCCATTTCCCATGTTGAATACAGTCAGTGATAATAGAATCTTTTTCTCCTGTGTGTGAAGACGACAGAGAAATCCTGACCTTAAGGTAAAAATAAGCTGTACTGGTGAACCCGACGCACCGCGTCATCACCCGTGGTACACGAAATATGTAGCAAAACTGAACACTTCAAAGGAATTGAAAATGGTCGTTTTTGTTCAAAACCACATGTTTATATAAAAACTTTATCTTGCAAAGATTTTGTCAAATGTACTTGAAAGTCTTAGATGGGGGTACAAAAACGTTACTGTAGACTCCATGCCAAGCCAAGTTGTCATTTATTCAGCTTTCAGTTGGCTTTCATATACCAAATGGACAAAGACAAATTCTACATATACACCTTTCCTGTGAATAGAACAGCCATCTGTCTAAGGAGGGTCAATGGTATCCAATGTTGCAATTATGACGTCATAATAATGTCGATATCAACCATCGGGCCATGGCATTCATAGCTCATATGAATACCATCTGAATGTGGTGGGATGATCTAGAGGCAATACCATACAATTGTAAATATAGATAGATAAAGACAAGCATTTCTCTTACACTGGGCAGGCGTTTCTCTTACTTTTCCCGGTGTATGATATCCTTATCTCGTCATAGGGTTGAGTTGGGGATCATCCCAGTCAAATAATACAATGATGTTACGTAGACAATGCAATATTTTCTATAACACAGCGGGAATGCACTTGTGAAGCCGGGAACACGTTTTTTCGCTACTTTTTATGGTACCATTTCTCTGTCACACATAGGGCATGTTATTGCACTTAGAACGAAATAATACGATGAAGTCATGTAAACAATATATTTTTTACGTCACGATCTGCTTTCAAAGGGAAAGGTGATTTGCAAATTAGGGTAGAGAAAAAACCGAAATGTCATTAACATTTCGAACATACAGTAGTAATAATAATAATTCGAGGTTCTTATATACGGCTTTATCACAACCTAGTTCGTAGGTGATCTCAAAGCGGTTCACAAATTATTATCCGTGGCCTTTGCAACCAGCAATATCCTTCTGAACTCCCTGTGGTGCTGCCATTTCGGCGCTCTCAGCTAGCATTCTACAATTCTTGCACTGCCCAACCACGTATGATGTGAATGGGGTCATTCTTTATAGTAAGGGTATATATCATCCCTTAGGTGATCCTTGAATGTCTAACCCTCAGTTTGGAGCAACCCTCGGGCTAGACCATCAGTACCACCATTGATACTTCTGTTATATCCACACGGCTGGGGGAGATTTCATCACAAGATGACAACTTTGAGGGAATTAAAACCTTCATCTCAAGATAAATAACACAGAGGAAGGAAGAATATACTTGTCAATGTTAGAACTCTTAACAGGTTAGAACACTGAGCAAGGTCATCTGAAGGTTAGAAACCTGAGGAGGGTCGTCTGACGGTTACAACAGGAACAGATTAGAATCTTCCTTCATCTCAAGCTTAGAACACTGAGCAGGGTCGTATGGAGATCCGAACCATGAGGAAGGTCGTCTTAGATTTGAACATTGAGCAGGCAAGAATCTTTCTCTAAAAAAGGAACACGGAGGCGGTAAGAATATCTATCTCAAGATCCATCAGAACCCAGAGGAGGGTGGTCTGGAGGTTAGAACACTGGGGAAATCAGATTCTTCATCTCAAAGTCAGAACTTTGAGGAGGGAACATAACTCCGGTTTTAACAAGGGCTAGTTCGAGCACTGAGTGAGTTATAATTTTTTTCTCAAGGTTGGAACACCTTTTACCAGGTAAGAACCTTCATTTCAAGACCAGAACCCTAGACAAGTCCTTTGAAGTTAAAATCACTGAGAAGGCTGGAATCTTCATCTCAATGTTAGAACACAAACAGGGTTATTTCTAGAGGGGAACAATGAGGTAAGGATCTGAATCTCAATGTTAGAACCCAGGGAAGGGTGATGAAGGTCAAAGCACTGAGATAATAATATTCATCTCAAGATTAAAACCAAAAATAAAGATGTTTGAATCTTAATTTCAAGGTCAGAACCCTAATAAGGGTTATCTGAGTGAGTTGGAATCTTCATCTCAAAATGTGACACTGAGAAGGGGATTAAAATCTTCATCTCAAAATATAACACTGAGAAGGGGATTAAAATCATCATTAGAAAGTTAACCAATAAGGAAGGTAATTTATTAGTGTTCCTGTGCCATTTTCTTAGATTTCAGTGCTTTTTAGAAATATTTGGTGACAGTCTTTCATTCTATTTAACCTCTCGTGGTTTCCTATCCCATCTTTGTGATACCACTTTTTGTCATTTGCACATTTTCTTGTTTGGAACTGTAATGACATATCTACAAACAATGAAAAAAAATTAAAACTTTTATGGATAGATTTTATTCTCAAAAACAACACATATAGTTATTTATAACATAGAATATGAACACACTGGGGAAACAAACTGCACAGCAACCACAATAGTGGGACACATTGATCCCAAATATGATAATAGAGGGACGTTAGTCCCAGACACGATTATAATGGGACCTTACAGACCATAGTCTTAGTCCAAGATAACTGAATCTTAGTCCCAGAAAATAGGGGGTTTTATTCGAAAACAATAGGTTTACCTTAGTCCCAGACTAAAAGTTTATCTGAGTCACAGACAGTTTTATTTTTGTCAAAGTGACTTTATCTTAGTCGCAGATAGTAGATTTGAACTCAAGAATTCCTGTAATACTTTGAGTGTACTCCAGCAGATCACAATATAACTCAGTTGTTTTATAAACACTGAATGTCTATAAACACTGAATGTCTATAAATTAAACATTGTAAGATGGATGTATAGTTCCAGCAATGCCAATGACCCTTTGAAGTTGATATTTAGTTCATTAAAAGACAAAAATGCAAACCAATTAAACTTCAATACTGTTATAAGTTGGGTACATAAGTATAAATATCAATAAACAAAATTCTTCACTGAATTGTACTGAATCAAAAATGTTTGTAAACTGTTTCTTTCTTGATGGAAAAAATTGTATCACAATTTCTTTTAAACATTTGCATGATAATACTGATCAATAAAAATATAATCAAATTTAAATCAAATATATAAAACAATAGAGTCATATATTGTATACTGATCACAGCAAAACAAGCCCAATCGGTTGACGTTTACACCTGGTATCATACAGAGTACCAACCCATACCTACACAGAGTCACGCGATATCTGAGGTATTTTACCTATCCTACGGTTATATGTTTATAATTGAGCAAACCTTGAAAACAGGCAAAAAATATTAAAACGACAAGGTAAAAAATAACAATACATAACAAGTGAAGATAGCAATCAACATTGATTCAGTGTCATAATGCATTTTAGTATAAAATTGAAGTATTTTTTTCTTATTTGACTTCACACCTGAAATGGTTTGCTTACTATTACCACTGATAACAAGGCACTTCAGTTTAACTTTGTACCATGCTGTTAACTGAATTTTAAAGATATATAACTAGTTTCAGAAGCAACCTCGAATGCATTGACAATAATTAATATCAATGTTGTCATTTTCAACAGATAAAAGACATATTTATTTCAATTAAATGCAGTGATCATTTATCATCATTCATATGCCATATCACATTAGAGACAAAAGTATAAAATATATATATATACATTAAACTCATATAAAAATCAACATAAAAGATCAATTGTGTAACAATAAATGGCATAGCAAGTAATTTAACAATACTGGTGTTTGTACACGTATTAAAAAGTAACGCGTACAGATAAAAACAAACGATGACACACCATTGACTAGACAGAAACAACACCAAATATCACAAAATATTTCACTAGATCACAGAGTTTATGAAAGTATGTGTAACACACTAGTGGACTAGCCAGAAACAACACCAAACATCACAAAATATTTCACTAGATCACAGAGTTTATGGAAGTATGTGTAACACACTAGTGGACTAGACAGAAACAACACCAAATATCACAAAATATTTCACTAGATCACAGAGTTTATGGAAGTATGTGTAACACACTAGTGGACTAGACAGAAACAACACCAAACATCACAAAATATTTCACTAGATCACAGAGTTTATGGAAGTATGTGTAACACACTAGTGGACTAGACAGAAACAACACCAAATATCACAAAATATTTCACTAGATCACAGAGTTTATGGAAGTATGTGTAACACACTAGTGGACTAGACAGAAACAACACCAAATATCACAAAATATTTCACTAGATCACAGAGTTTATGGAAGTATGTGTAACACACTAGTGGACTAGACAGAAACAACACCAAACATCACAAAATATTTCATTAGATCACAGAGCCTATGATAAATTCACAGACGCTTTGAAATTCTGATTATCAAGTTCTTTGATCAACTCCCTATATTCTACATTATTATGCTGACAAAATAAAAATAAATATATCTATCATGTTATGCATTTGCTTATTCACCTTTTGACATTATGCACCATTTCAAAAGTAACACTGTAATATTCCAATACTTATATGTTTGCAGTATAAAAACTATATTGTCTACTTATAGCAGTATGTTTACAGTACAAAGTTTTGCAAAAAGCAGTATGTTTATATAGTATTTAATACAGCAGTATGTTTATATAGTATATAAAACAGCAGCATGTTTACAGTATCTAGTTTGTAATGCAGTATGTTTACAGTATACAGTTTGTAAATCAGTATGTTTACAGTATATATTTTGTAAAGGCTATCTTATGTTTACAGTATATAGTTTGTAAATCAGTATGTTTATTATAGTATATAATACAGCAGCATGTTTACAGTATATAGTTTGTAATGCAGTATGTTTACAGTATATAGTTTGTAAAGCAGTATGTTTACAGTATATAGTTTGTAAAGGCTAAACACAGTATGTTTACAGTAGTATGTGTTTACAGTATATAGTTTGTAAAGCAGTATATTTATATAGTATATAATACAGCAGTATGTTTACAGTATATAGTTTGTAAAGCAGTATGTTTAAGACTGTTTAAATTGAATTCTGTTGTATATATGTATTCACAAAATTCATAAATCTTAACATTTTACTAATATATCATTTAAATACAAAATGCTGAGTAATTCTTCAGTTTTATCTATAAATCTACAAAAAACTATTTTAGAATCCATTATGATGGCTTAAAATTGAGTATTTGACACTTATATCTGTATGTAAATTTGCAAAATAAATAATACTGTATAATGCTTAATAAATTATATATAAAAAGGTATATATCTACTCATGTTCTGCTTCACTAATTGTATCATCTTTGTTCATTTATATATATATAATATGTAGATTGTTCTTTAGAACCCATTTAAACCTGAAATATTTAAAAGTTGCTTACATTTCTTATAAATATATATTTGATATCATCATATTTAAATACATATATACATGTGTATACGTTCTGGTAAAACCTGTTACTATAATGATCAGATATAACAGCAGAAAACACAACAGAGGTTCATATATACACAGAATACTTCTTCATTGTTAATCTGTGTTTTGTTTTGTTTTTCAAAATCACATTTCTCTTTGTAAAATAAATTCTGACATAGGATAGAAATCAATTGTCATTTATTTTTTGCTTTGTAAAAACTTTCAAAATCAAATTTCTCCTTGTAACATTAAAACTAACTCAAAATAAAAATCAATGCTTTCTAAAATGTCTTATAAAATAGTAGACACACACTGATATGTAACAGTTCAATACTTCAGATTCCGTAAATACTGCAAACTGATACTCAAGTATTTTCATAACACGTATATATAAATCATTTCGTTGTTTTAATAAAATCTGGTTTACAAAATATTTGTTCACTTGTATGTAAAATAACATGTTTTACAATATCATCAATACCGATGTTAAAGACATCATATGAATGCATTGACTGGAATGGAGATTTAGACAGTTTCTACACATTGTTTGTACAGTTTAACCTCGTTATTCACTCACTTGTAGGAATCAATGTACATCAACCTGACAACAATATATATATAGCTCTTACACGTATATCACATGACATTAGCAATAAACTAATTTATTTTTAGAAAAATAGACATAATTGATTTGCTTGCCTTCCATTTTTAGCACTAGATATTTCCTCCTCATCTTTTGCATAGCCTTCTCTAGGATTAAATCTGATTTGTCTTTCAGACAGAAAAGTTCAATAGAGTTTCTGTTTTTATTTCACAAAGAAAAAAATAGAAAATCAGAAAAATAGAAAATCTTGAAGCTAGTTGGTAGAAACCTCATATTGGTATCACTTATGATGCATGGCCCAACTTTAAGGTCACTGTGAATTGTTCATTTACAAATTCAGCATCTTAATCAAATTAATCATTTTACCTTTGTTTTTTCCCTTGCTATCTAGATGGAACAGAAACAGACTGCAACAACATTACACCAAATCAAACTTCTAGTTACATCATATGTTAACTTTGAATAGACACAGACTTATGCACTCATAGTCCCCAAGGGGACAGAACTCTTCTGTAGCCTCCCCGCGTCATAGCTGTAGACTTCTGATTCCTTAGGGGTGAAAGTCACTTGGTGGGTAGTGCTGTGTTTCTGGGGGCCACTGAGTGGGGGCAAAATGTTGGACTTTCTCAACTGGAAATGAAAACATGTGAAATACAATTCATGTTAGCAATTAATGGAAACTTTTCTTGGAAAACACTATAATTCTTAAACAGCCTTGTTTTAAAACTACTGGTCCATGCTGATTGGCTCCATGTCAGTAATATTTACACCATTGCTCATAGAAGACAGATTGATATTTAGGTAAAATTCTAGCTCTACTTACATTATTGATAGCCACTGGGTTGGGTACAGTCTTCCCTCGGTATGGGTTCTTGTAATCTGTCCATGAGGATGTGTGCTTAGCTTCACTCTCTACAGAAAATTTAAAATATGATAACCAACAATTCTTTGCTTTTTGCAGAGGTTGATAAAGGGACATAGCAGTCATCAATAAAATGAGAATGTCCAGAATGACAATTACTCCAGATAAGGCTAATGCAACAGAAAAGGAAATTCATGGGAAGAAAATACTCTGTTCATTAGAATGAAAACATTATGAAATAATATTTGTTGAGAACATTGAAACCAAAATTAAAGTACAGTAACATTGCGTACTTGTATTTAATCAACTCAAAGTGAGAAACAAATGATAGTAACTGCACGTGTTAGTTGAGATACCAGTTTGTAATAGGATGGATAATACTGTAAACCCAAACCAACTTTAAGGACATGAGAACATTCTGTAAGTGTAATATGGTATATTCAGAAGAGGCCAGACTGAAGGATATGTCTACTCACTTTCATAGTAGTTCAAGGGGATGTCGCTATCCTTGTAGAACTTGGCTCGGTTATAGGTGTAGGGCACGGTGACTGGATGGAAGTTGTCATCTGTTGTGGTATCGTAGAATGTTTTTGACATGCTCGGTTCTCCGAACCACACATTACTTTTAGTCCTTAGATTAGCTCCAGATATGATGCTGTTGTGTAAACCAGAGGGTGGCTGGGAAAAACAAATACCAAAATATTTAACACATAAACATGAGAAATACTTGTAAATAACAAATGGAGAGTGTATTTTCATGTTCTGTCTGTTATTATAAGTTAATTAAGTATTAAAGTTATACCAAACCGCTTTATGATAAAACTGTAAAAAAAAAACACTTACGTTTCCATGGTAATACCGACTTGTTGTCAAATTGACCCGCTCTCCACCTCTGAGTTCATCATGGTCTCCTTCTGGCAGATCACTATGGTTACGGTCTTTGCCTGGTCTGTATCTGTGGTCTGAGGCAAAACAATTTGAACAAATAAAACATTGTGGAGTCTGTCTTTATAAAATGTTGATTTGCTTTGATTATTGGAACTACAGACATTGAATTACCCATACAGTAATCTTATTTAACTTTCAATACAACAACCAACCCTCACATATTTCCAAACTGATGAATCTTATTGAAGGAAGGTATTAGGGCTGATATTGTTACTTTCAGGGTGTTGTGACTGGTAGGTATTATGGTTGATATTGTTACTTACAAGGTGTTATGACTGGGAGGTATTAGGGCTGATATTGTTACTTACAAGGGGATGTGACTGGTAGGTATTAGGGCTGATATTGTTACTTACAAGGTGGTATGACAGGTAGGTATTAGGGCTGATATTGTTACTTACAAGGTGTTATGACTGGGAGGTATTAGGGCTGATATTGTTACTTACAAGGTGATGTGACTGGTAGGTATTATGGCTGATATTGTTACTTACAAGGTGATGTGACTGGTAGGCATTAGGGCTGATATTGTTACTTACAAGTTGTTATGACTGGTAGGTATTAGGGCTGATATTGTTACTTACAAGGGGATGTGACTGGTAGGGATTAGGGCTGATATTGTTACTAAAAAGGTGATGTGACTGGTAGGAATTAGGGCTGATATTATTACTTACAAGGTGATGTGCCTGGTAGGTATTATGGCTGGTATTGTTACTTACAAGGTGGTGTGACTGGTAGGTATTAAGGCTGATATTGTTACTTTCAGGGTCTTATGACTGGTAGGTATTATGGGTGATATTGTTACTTACAAGGTTTTATGACTGGTAGGTATTATGGCTGGTATTTTTACTTACAAGGTGATGTGATTGGTAGGTATTAGCGCTGCTATTGTTACTTTCAGGGTGTTATGACTGGTAGGCATTAGGGCTGATATTGTTATGAACTAGGTGTTATGAATGGTGGGCATTAGGGCTGGTATTGTTACTAACAAGGTGATGTGACTGGAAGGTCTTAGGGCTGATATTGTTACTAACAAGGTGTTGTGACTGGTAGGTATTATGACTGATATTGTTACTTACAATGTGATGTGACTGCTAGGTATTAGGGCTGATATTGTTATTTACAAGGTGTTGTGACTGGTAGGAATTAGGGCTGATATTATTACTTACAAGGTGATGTGATTGGTAGGTATTAGCGCTGCTATTGTTACTTTCAGGGTGCTATGACTGGTAGGTATTAGGGCTGGTATTGTTACTTACAAGGTGTGGTTACTGGTAGGTATTAGGGCTGGTATTGTTACTTACAAGGTGGTGTGACTGGTAGGTATTAAGGCTGATATTGTTACTTTCAGGGGGGTATGACTGGTAGGTATTAGGGCCGATATTGTTACTTACAAGGGGATGTGACTGGTAGGCATTAGGGCTGATTTTGTTACTTACAATGTGATGTTGCTTTGATTATTGGAACTACAGACATTGAATTACCCATACAGTAATCTTATTTAACTTTCAATACAACAACCAACCCTCACATATTTCCAAACTGATGAATCTTATTGAAGGAAGGTATTAGGGCTGATATTCTTACTTACAAGGTGATGTGATTGGTAGGTATTAGCGCTGCTATTGTTACTTTCAGGGTGTTGTGACTGGTAGGTATTAGGGCCGATATTGTTACTTACAAGGTGGTGTGACTGGTAGGTATTAAGGCTGATATTGTTACTTTCAGGGGGTTATGACTGGTAGGTATTATGGCTGGTATTTTTACTTACAAGGTGTTATGATTGGTAGGTATTAGGGCTGAAATTGTTATTAACTAGGTGTTATCAATGGTGGGCATTAGGGCTGGTATTGTTACTTACAAGGAGATGTGTATGGGAGGGATTAGGGCTGATATTCTTACTTACAAGGTGTTATGAATGGGATGTATTAGGGCTGGTATTGTTACTAACAAGGTGTTGTGACTGATAGGGATTAGGGCTGATATTCTTACTTACAAGGTGATGTGATTGGTAGGTATTAGCGCTGCTATTGTTACTTTCAGGGTGTTGTGACTGGTAGGTATTAGGGCTGTTATCGTTTCTTACAAGGTGATGTGACTGGTAGGTATTAGGGCTGATATTGTTATTAACTAGGTGTTATGAATGGTGGGCATTAGGGCTGATATTGTTACTTTCAGGGTGTTATGACTGGTAGGTATTAGGGCTGATATTGTTACTTACAATGTGATGTGACTGGTAGGTATTAGGGCTGATATTGTTACTTACAAGGTGTTATGACTGGTAGGTAATAAGGCTGATACTATTACAAACAAGGCGTTGTGACAGGTAGGTAAATAGGACTGATACTACTACTTACAAGGTGTTGTGACTGGTAGGTAGGACACTGTGGCAGTACTCTGATAGTCATTGTATTTGCAGTGGCCGTCCACTTGTTTGAAGTTGGTCTTGCCCAGTGTTCTGCTGACCTCATCCTTCAGGTAAGGTTTGTAATCACTGTTTCCTACTTTGGTTGGAAATGAGTACTGCATGGTTGTCTCCCTTACTGTCTCCTTGCCGGGGTCACCACCAGGCACATTGGTACCTGTAGGCTATGATCACAAATCATACAATGTACACTCGTTATTATTTTAAAATTCACCACAAATACATAAATCCTGGAAGTTATTAATACATACTTAAAAATAAAACTGGTTTATTGTACACTGTTTTTTGGTGTCTTAAAAGCTCAGCTCTGTATATCTTGAAAAGACAGAGGTTATCTTTGCAATTTATTTAAATTGTCTAGCTACTATAGGCTTAGTTACTTCAATAAATTTTGACTTTGATAAAACCAGTTCTGTTGCCGCATCTAGGTAAGAGAAGAGACAGTAAAGTGCCTATGAGGATTTATACATACTGCAGGCAAGGACTTGATAGGGGGCTGAAACTCTCCCATAAATGTGGCATTGTGTGTTGTGTCGAAATGAGTGTAGCGACTATCACCTTTTACAGTAGGAGGCCCTCCTGTTACAGAATATAAAACATTGATCATTTTCACATTCAACTTGATTCAAACACACATTAATCCATCATGCATGCATTATCGTATCCTTTTATGAAAAAAGTCGAAACTATTTACTGGTTTTCTCATAGATTAGAATAATTGTTATATATACATTTGCAGGATTCATAAAAAGTTCTCAGAGTTGGCATGTATTTAATGTCTAGCATCAATTGACTTACCTTCGTGCATGGAGGGTGCTTTTTCTACTCTGTGTACAGTGGTGTCGTGTCCCCTGTACCGGTCCCTGTAGTCAGACCAAGGCTCGTCAGCCTTCTCTCGATCTCCCTGAGGAATGTTCACCTCCCACAACGCTGTTATAGGCTGAACTCGCTCATAATCACTATCCATTTTGGGTGTAAAATACGAATCATGCATTGTCTGAAATGATTTCACTTTATTTACATCTGAATCCATCTTAAAATTGGTTGATCTCAGTTTTCTGTGTACATCTGGAACCACCATCTTAGGCATGTATTTGTATTCAAATGACTTGGTCGTCTCGGATGCCTTTTCCCTGAAGTAGGTTCCATCTCTGTGCATGACCTCTGCCAATGCAGGGCGCTCTGCTTCAGCATCTCGACCATAGTGTTTGTGAGAAGGATAGTCTTTCTTGAATATACTTTGCATAGACCCTGGTGTAACAGACATGTCTTGAGCAACCTTGAAATTTGTTGATGACAGAAAATCTGTCCCCATTTTGGGGGTGTAAATGGGATGAGTTATTTCAGCCATGATGATCTGAAACAATAAAAGCACACTTCGTTATATGTTGCTCATTTTAAAGTACTGACAGATTAAAATAAAAAGTTCAACTTTTCCAACTATAAGTATTATTTATCCATGTACTATCATATTATTATATTCATCTTCGATACTGTCTTTTTTTTCTTTGTCACATGGTAAACAGTATATCAATTATTGATCTTCTGGAGTATGTACACTTGTACTTTCTTTAGTTATTGTATAGGGTCACAAAAAAAACACTCTATACCGTTACATTGATTTGTTACAATAAAATTGAAATGAAAAAAAATCAATATATTTCAAATCTTATTCTTGCATTTCAGAATATATATTGTCATTCCATTGTGTTGTATGTATTGTTATTTGATACTACAGTTCTTTGTGCAATTTATTTAGCACTTTGGTGACATTATTTTGCATAAGCCAGGCTGACAAACACTGGTACAATAGCAACCTTTATCACACCATTGAAAGAATTTAAATATCCGGTACATATTCATCTAGGAGTGACACACTATCCCTTTTATTTAACAACACCATGCCATTGACATAAATATGTTTTTATAAAGTAGATCAATGTTTACTTTGGGAATCGCAATGTCAACACGTTGTTTGTTTAGGCCTCTTTAACCAGATTAACCTTATTTTCGAGACTTAACTATGCGTAGCTCGACCGTGACATTGCGTGAAAGTATCGATTTCATCTATTGTAAATTCTAGAACATATAAATGAATAAAGATTACGGATGATTGCTTACATGTGGCTGTTCCCCCTTTGTGTACAATAACCATAGATACCACCATGCACTTCCGTACCGGAAATAGCTCTTCAATCCCGAGGGCAATTTTTGTCGATAATGAAAAAATCGGTATCTACAAAACGTTTTGTGGAAGGTGAACGTACACGTCTTTAAAAGGTTCCACTTGACATTGAATATATGCCAACTTGGCCATGGCCACACGACTAGAAATAAATTTCAATCGCCTTCTAGCAAGATGTGAAACTATGGCGAAAGACAAAACGGCATGGGATTGGAGACTTGAAAAGGTATGCTATATGGGTCGATGTCGACGGTCACACTAATTTGCGCCATAGGAGATTTAGCGCCATAGGAGATTTTGCACGCCATAGCTAAATGTAAGTGTTATATCCACGAAATATTTCGATTTTTCCATTGGTATACTCATTTAACATGTTTTGGTGAAGTAACATTTAAAAAAAATGTGCACTTTGTTAGAAAATCGATCTTGATCACGAAGCACTTTTACACTAATTTGCGCCATACGTGTTTTTTCACGCCATAGCAAAATATAAGAATTATTTTCCGCAAATAACTGGGTTTTCACTTTGGTTTATGCAAAAAACAGGTTGTGGTAAAGTTTCATTCTTAAAAAATGTTTATTTTGTTAGGAAATCGACAAAATAATTCTTCGCGATTCAGAAGTCAATTTCAAGGGAAATAACTCGCACATTTGCAAAATACGCAATGAATAGGACAAGACAAGTACTTGACTGGATTTTTATAACACTTACATTTTGCTATGGCTTGCAAAAACTCCTATGGCGCTAAATCTCCTATGGCGCAAATTAGTGAGACCCGATGTCGATACTGTTTGCTTTTTCCTGAAGGTGCACTCGGCTGGGTCTTCTTCAGATGTTGACATCACAGTCTCCTGTACGTGATAACACACAAATCGGCTCTAAATTGTCTGTAAATAATGCACCTAGTTGCACCCTGACTGGAAAAGATTGCAGTATTTGTTTCTTTATATAAAGGGGAAATGAAGACAGTACAACATGGGGATCAAATAATTCACTACACTAGACGTTCTAGATCGACGTTCATCTGCTGTATAGTGTAACCCTGGTAAATACTAGCCGCAATATATCGCTCGGCTATGGAGAATTTCTCTTTAGCTCGATCGGTTGAGCGTAAGACTAGTAAGCCAGAGGTCCCGGGTTCGATCCCTAGGGGAGGTAGTGATTTATATTTAATTAATCATGCGCTCTGTTACATTGGCGCCCAGGTAGGGACCCGGGAAAACTACTTGGCCTTGCTCCACAAGCATCGCTGTTACCCTTGGAAAACTTGAGGACAAGGTCTTTCCTGGAAGGGGAGTATGTAACCCTGGTAAATACTAGCCGCAATATATCGCTCGGCTATGGAGAACTTCTCTTTAGCTCGATTGGTTGAGCGTAGGTCTAGTAAGCTAGAGGTTCCGGGTTCGATCCCTAGCGGAGGCAGTGATTTATATTTAATTAATCATGCCCTCTGTTACATATTACAGGAAAACTTTCCCTATAAGCAGCCTAGTAACATGACATTTCTAAGGGTACATTCGCGTATCCAGTTGAAACCCTTGAACCTGTAAAGAAAACGACAGGTACAGATCATTTTTAGCTCTGCTTATAGAACGGTCCAAGTGTGTTCGTTTATCATGGAGAATTTCTGCGCCACACGTAACTGTTTCAACCGGTATACGCGAATGTGGCCCTAGTTTTCACCCTCCAAGATTCTTTACTTCCTGCCAGCCCAAGGGTGTAAACTACCTAGAACTGGGAGGTTCAAAGAAACTTAATTTATCTAGAAAGTTGACACCTTGCTCTTATATGGTTAACATTTGGATTAAAAAAGATTGATACATTCATTAGGTTGGTTACATTTTATATTAAATCATTGACACACTGATTCAAGTGATGCCCATGTGTCAGTCACAAGCCAAGGCACCAATTGTCTCGCTGATACAATTAAACATACTGTATATCAGTATATAACTTGAGGGCTGAAGCCAAAGTAAAGTCATAGCACAATCAGACACTGCCAAGCAAACTATTATTTCTATGAAATATATGAGTTATTTCCCTTTGTATACATGATGTTGATTAACTGTGAATGAAAAGATTACTTTAGACATAACTTTTGTGTCATATAGGACTTTGTTTTACTGTGGACAATTTTTGTATTGTGTTTCATAATTTTAATTTCAGTTCATTACTGCACTACAAGATCAACTGAGTGAATTAAAGAAGTCCCCATGGTATGCTACAGTGCTTCATGCATCAAAGTACTTTTTTTCTTCAATGAATTAAATGTTTGAAAAGAACAAAATTTTAATCATAAGGGGAAAAAGAGAAACCCAAAAACCAAAGACCAAAGGGGGTTAATTTGACAAAATGCATGATATTTGTAGTGAAATGAACATTTCGCTTTTGTACTAAAAATATTTAAGCACATAAATGTTTTTATCATGATATAATGTTGACAAGTTAAAACAGTTGAAAGTAAACAAAATGGATCAGCATGGGTGTCAAAGTTACATCTTCTTTTAGTATTAATATCATTTTTAAGTGGATATCTAAATTCTTGATAATATTTACAAATTCAGGACCAAAATGTTGTTTCGTAATATTTACAGATAAAGGATCAAAACCTTGATTCAATATATTTACAGATAAAGGAACAATATGTTGTTTCGTAATAATTACAGATAAAGGACCAAAATGTTGATTCAATATATTTACAGATAAAGGATCGAAATGTTGTTTCAAGAACTTGTTTAGTCAGAGATGATAAGTTAAACAAATTCTTTGATGCTTTTTTGTTTGTTTTCAGTAAGCCGAGTCAGGAAACTTTGAATGACTACAATAAAAAAGTGGACTTCCTGAAGGGAATAATTGAAGCTGAAAAATTGGTATGATAGTTGTGTGTTTGTATTGATACCCGTAGTTGTTTTAATGAATGAAATCATAAAAAACTCCCTCCTTTTTACTAAAGGTTACACCAAATTGGTAGGTACTTTTTCAGGAAATCAGAAACAAAAAGTATTCCTTTTTTAATGAAGTATTGGAAAAAACTTAAAGCGGCAGTACATGTATAAATAAAAGTCCATTTTGTATTATAGGATTCTGTATCCTCAACATACATTTTGTATTATAGGATTCTATATCCTCAACATACATCATGTATTATAGGATTCTGTATCCTCAACATACATTTTGTATTATACGATTCTGTATTCTCAACATACATTTTGTATTATAGGATTCTGTATCCTCAACATACATCATGTTTTATAGGATTCTGTATCCTCAACATACATTTTGTATTATACGATTCTGTATCCTCAACATACATTTTGTATTATACGATTCTGTATCATCCTCAACATACCTCATGGTTTACATAAACATGTTATGCAAAAACTTATGCTGTACTTAATTTATGACAATTTTAATGTAATTTTTCAAGGATAATGATAGATTCAGATAATATATCCCTGAATCTTAAAACATTACTAAAATCATAGATTGTTCAATATGTCAGATTTTGTTTTTGAAGTGTGAAATAGACATTATTTAACAATTCTAGCATTTCAAAAGTTTCTTAAATGTTGTGTCATCATCTGTTGCTACTGTTGTAGATGATAGGACAGATTCTCTTGCATCGGTTTGCACAAAAATAATTTGTTTGTAACCACCTGCTGTCATGTTAACAGTCAATATTGTTAAAATGCTTTGTTGAGCAAGGGTTCTTCCACTCAGACATAGGAATGATCTATATTAAATTATGGGACATTTCAAAATTGAAACTAAACAGAAAGTATCCAAATTTTGTTGAGATGGTTAGTTTTCAGAACTTGAGTGGAAAAACAATTACTTTGTTATTTCTGTCGTGTTAGGAGTAGAAATCCAACAAACTACTCACCAAGTTGGTCTGCCCTAAGTAATAGTAAACTTTGAACCCCAGTTAACATCTTTGTTGGTGTTAGGCTAAAGCATTGCAATAAGATTGTTGGATAAGTCTGACACATATATAACGCTAACTTATGTATGTCTTTGTTTAAGTTCCCTGTAAATGAAACATTTTAACTTTTGGCTTTTAATTGGTATTCCTCACTGACTTTGTGCTTGTATTACAATAAATAAAATGGTCTTGTATTACAATAAATAACATGGTCTTGTATTACAATAAATAACATGGTCTTGTATTACAATAAAATGCATTATCTTGTATTACAATAAATTACATGGTCTTGTATAACAATAAATTACATGGTCTTGTATAACAATAAATTACATGGTCTTGTATTACAATAAATAACATGGTCTTGTATTACAATAAATAACATGGTCTTGTATTACAATAAAATGCATTATCTTGTATTACAATAAATTACATGGTCTTGTATAACAATAAATTACATGGTCTTGTATAACAATAAATTACATGGTCTTGTATTACAATAAATTACATGGTCTTGTATTACAATAAATTACATGGTCTTGTATTACAATAAATTACATGGTCTTGTATTACAATAAATTACATGGTCTTGTATTACAATAAATTACATGGTCTTGTATTACAATAAATTACATGGTCTTGTATTACAATAAATTACATGGTCTTGTATTACAATAAATTACATGGTCTTGTATTACAATAAATTACATGGTCTTGTATTACAATAAATTACATGGTCTTGTATTACAATAAATTACATGGTCTTGTATTACAATAAATTACATGGTCTTGTATTACAATAAATTACATGGTCTTGTATTACAATAAATTACATGGTCTTGTATTACAATAAATTACATGGTCTTGTATTACAATAAATTACATGGTCTTGTATTACAATAAATTACATGGTCTTGTATTACAATAAATTACATGGTCTTGTATAACAATAAATTACATGGTCTTGCAGCCAACTACAGCAGAAAAAGCTCTTGCAGCAGACAAGTTAGCTACAATTTCCTCATCAGGGACAGGTAACTCTGTCAAGTCTAAGGAGCTACACCTACACACCAAGGCCAGGTATCAAAAAGATGTACGCAATGAGCTGCTGGGCCTTGACGGGGAGGATATTCAAAGTAAGATCATTGAACTTTATAAAAGACTATTATATTACTTACAACTTTATAAAAGACTATTATATTACTTACAACTTTATAAAAGACTATTATATTACTTACAACTTTATAAAAGACTATTACATTACTGACAACTTTATAAAAGACTATTATATTACTTACAACTTTATAAAAGACTATTACATTACTTACAACTTTATAAAAGACCATCATATTACTTACAACTTTATAAAAGACTATTATATTACTTACAAATTTATAAAAGACTATTACATTACTGACAACTTTATAAAAGACTATTATATTACTTACAACTTTATAAAAGACTATTACATTACTTACAACTTTATAAAAGAC